GATTTTATGACGAAATCCTCCAAGATTATTGCTTTACTTCAGCAGAAGAACATTTTAAAGTTAATATATTTTATTTAACATTAGATAATGCAATAATGCAACTAAAGGAACGTTTTACCAGTTTAAATAACGTATTCAAAATATTTGAAGTTATTCAACCGAATTCATTGATTAATTTAACAGACGAACAAATTTATAACTCCGCTAATAAATTGGTAAAATATTATGATTCTGATTTATCTAATGCTCTTGCTGGTCAAATTTTATCGTTCAGATCTTGTTTTAAAGAAGAAATTACAAAAAGAACCTCGGTAAAAGAAATTACCGAATTACTTGTTATAGAGAATCCTACATTAGCAACAACATTTTCTGAAATATGTACAGCGTGCATGTTATTTTTGACACTTCCTGTAACAGTTGCTACAGCGGAACGATCATTTTCGAAATTAAAACTTATCAAAAATTATTTACGTAGCACAATGTGTGAAGAAAGATTAAGTGGACTTGGAATTCTGTCTATCGAAAACGACCGAGCTCGTCAGTTAAACTTAAAAGAAATAATTAATAACTTTGCGGAAAAAAAGCACGCAAACGAAATTTTCACTGATTTATTATTATTATTATATTCTTATCATTATTATTTGTTATATTATAATATATTATTTTATATGTATGACGTAATTTCATCTTATTTCTTACTTAATTGGAATTATATACCTATATCTATATTATATAGAATAAAAAAATAAAGGGGGCCCTTTTTTTAGTTTTGCACACAGGCCCATCTTTGGGATAAACCGCCACTGGTATTAATCTTATTAGTTTATTCATTTTATTATCATACATTAATATTATTATATTTTGTGAAATTTAGATATATTGCTCGTAAAAATAAATAACTTTAGGAATAATTGTTAATGAACTGAACTCGACTAAAAAGGTTTTTACTTTTTTATAAATAAGTTGATTAATTTTTGTACAGCAAAAATATTAAAAATGTTTAAAATACATTATAATTTGTAATTTTTTTATTGTTAATTAAATTAATTACATCATGATACAACCTAGGTCATTTTTTCCTAGGTGATTTTTTTTTAGTAAATAAACAAAAAAAAAAATAACAACGGCTTTAAAAAACAATCGTTTTTAGTGAAAAATAATTTTATCAATTTTTCAAAACAAAACACCTAAAGTTAAATTATTTTATATTAAGTCGATGACTCAAGTAAAGGAATGTTTAAACAAGATGTTCAAGGTACTTTTTTTATTCAATCGTAAATTGCTTTATTCTTAAACATACTTAGAACTTAAATTTATACTACCACTCTTTTTCGCTAACCATAATTTTATTTTTCTCAAGTTGTAGTTATCTTAAAGTATATTTTTTATTTTTATACTTCATGAATAATAATAATATATGATGCAGTGCGCAGATGTCGAAGATGTTGTCCCTAAATCATACCTTCGTAAAAATACAAAGTATAGTAATTGTAACTGCAAAAGTACAACTTGTTCCAAATTAAAGGTATGAATAACTTATCTAGTTATATACTACATCGTTGAATTACAAATTATAACAACAGTCTTTCAAATCATTAACAAACAAGTTTAAAATATTTAGTATATTATAGAAAAAATATTTTAAGATTTATATAAATACCCACAATAAACTTTATTATATTCTTATTCCTTACCAACAAGAGCTTATTATAACAAAAGCTTTTAAGCAGTTAATGATTGGACTGTTAGTATTCTCATTATAGTGGTAATACCAAAAGCTCATAATAAGTTAATTAGAAAAACTATACTCAAATCAGTGGTGGAACTTGGATATTTTGACAAGGAGGCATCATTAGTGTACTTAACAAGGGTGTTGTGGGGGCTTTAATTTTTTATATTCTTAGCCCTCTCTAAAACTAAATTTTTGAAGGTATGATAGTATGATGGTAATGATGAAAAAATATTTTCTTATACTTAAAATATTTTTTTTATAAGAGATTTATTTTTCAACTTTAAAATATTAAACTTAAAAAATTATACTTTAGTTTTGTTGTATACATAAATAAGCATCTTGGTTTTGATGTATTATTCTCAGTCTCAGATTAAGGAAGGGAACGCCCCGAGACCCATTATAAATTTTACAAGCCTGTCATAATTAGTATTATACAATTTTTCTATTTTTTTTTTTTTTTACTCATTACTATTTTATGGTAAACATATTTTCCATAGAGAAGACCCATCTTTAGGTTCCGCACCATATAGGTCTTAAATGTATTCTAAATTCAAAACTACAGTAGTAAATTTGAAAAAATGAATGATGTGTAAAATTGGTTTCCAACAGTGTACCAAAGGTCCGAAAGGGTTAAGCATATATGTTTTTATAATAACATTTTAATAAAAGCCGTTTAAAAAAAATAGTCTAGTGAAAACTGACAGGGAGCATTTACCTCTGTGTTCACCCCCTAAATCCACAACTGACTCAAATTATTCAATTTTTTAATTTTTGTAATATCATTGTTACAACTGATTATCTTTATCTTATGAATATTATATGTAATTATTCCTGTAAACATTTTATTTATTTAGAACTATAAATATGTACAGCCAAAGAAATCGGAATGCTTCAAACCTAAGTCTGTTCGTATAAATAATAAATCATCAAAATTTACATAGTCTAGACTTTTTAAGTAATAATATTTTAGGCTTTCGATGTTTGTAATGAACCTTTAGACAAAAATTCTATATATAGCAAATCTTACCCATATTATGACCCCAATATTATGAACAGGTCTCGGCAAGAACCTATAATACATAGAGACAATTTAAAAATTGATGGCGAGTTCATCGGGAATTCTATACATCAGGTAATTTTCATCAAAAGATCGTAGTTACTTTTAACGCCTTAGAGCATGATCAAAGCATTAAATATGCATAATATTAGTTTTATTTATAAATTACACGAACTCTCATAACTGGCAATAAATAAACTTATTGCTTAGGACAAATTGATTTTTTTGAAAAATTAGCCTAATTTATTAAACAATTCATAACATTAACGATAAAACCTATTAAGAAATTAATTTATCACAAATTATTGTACATTGGCATACAATTTATTGTTATTTGATACATTGAGAATACTGAATGAGTATTTTTCAAATTTTATACTTATTACATCTTTGAAATAATTAAGAAAACTTTAAGATTAAATTAAATTTGCCTTGCTCTATCCCATACATTAGAAAATTTTAATAACTGATATTATTCGAGTTTTTTTCATATTTTAACGAATACAAAATTAACAATTTTAACCAATACAATCTCAATAAATATTAAGGTTTAATAATGTACAATCAAAATACATTTGCATATATTATATGAAATTCATAGATGAGTTATCAAGTAGTATGCCCCTCAAAAGTTCAAAAGATTAAACCGAAAGATCACAGCATAATGGGCAAAGGATATATGCGTTTATTAACTACACAAAAACATGATTACTATGATGTACTTAAAGATCAAAATCGCAATGAAAGCATCAAACCGTGTGATAATTTACATTTAAACGAAGGTCCGATGGACTCTCAAACAACTAATAGATTTTCATTTAAACCTATTGAAGTTGAACCAGTCAAACTCTTCAAACCTTTAAGGGAGTAAGTGAAATCATTAAAATAAATATAAAATTAAATTCACAATATCTTTCAAGGTATATAACACCTACTGGTGAAATGAATCTTGAAACAGTAACTAAATGTAGTTATGTTCCACATGAACCGGTAGAAAAAACAGAAACTCCGTGGGCCATTAAATTAGAATATTGCAAGCCAAATAAAGCTGTCGAGTGTTGCTCAGTTTATAATGAAAGGTATTTAAATTTTTTTCTCATAAAAAATATGAAACTAAGTGAAAAAAGTGGAAAGAGAAATTTGTTTAATTGAACTTATAAAATATAAATTTATCATTTGATTCTTTTAATGATATTTTCAATGTAACCAATTAAATTTTCAGTTACCCAGAACCTGGTACATACATATTAAAAGATTTATGCAATAATATAATCGAAGAAATAACTGAATGAAAAACTGGTATGCTATTTTATAAATAACATACTTTAAAATCATTTCAGTAGAATAAATTTATAGTTTACAAGATGCAATTCATAAGAGGAAAAGGATTAACACTTATAAGAGGCTAGCTAATTTTCTCCAATCTATAATATATTTTCATATAAAAATAATTATAAATATTCTGACTGCTATGAAAATGCAGTACATCGCAGACATTTTTTGTTAGGGACTGATTACTTTATTTTTACAAATAGAATGGGTTTACTAGAGTATTTCATAAAAAGATTTTATTATGAAACTAAATAATTAATATTATCTCAATTTGAATTATATTTTTGATCTCATATTTTACTACTTTCATTTGACATTAGGGATCTCTTCAGAAATGATTTTCGTTTATTTTCTCATCAACTCAATTAAATTTTTTTCTCATTATTAATATTTGATTGTAAATAAATTTTCAACGTTTTTAGGAAAGGATTGTTGTCCATTTCAATGTTTAGCTGATAATGCAGAAGAAAAATTTAAAACGCAATTCATCAAAGCCCATCATTTTGATAATTAATCGTTATTTTTAATGAACTTAATTTTAAAATAAAATTTTTCTTAAAAGGAATTTCACAAAATTTTTATTTTGTGAAAAATAATTGATTTTTAGGTGACCTATTGTGATAAAGACAGACAAACCTAAAAAAATACTTTGTGTCTGGGAGTGACTCTTTATCTTTAGCTTCATATTAACTTCCACACAAAATTTGTGTAATTTTTTTTTGCTTTTGAAATAACTACTACATTTTTAGAGATATAACATATGAATATTGTATTATATACGTGTACCAAAATAATTCAGAACTATAAAAAAAGAAAATTCATTACATAAACTATCAATATTTATTTATAATTTGCTAATAAAAAAAATATACAAATGTCTCATATTTGTAGACTAGTATGTTTTATTGAACAATATTTACAAAGCATTTAATAAAGAAACAGAAGAAACCTATTAAAAATTCTCAAATTATTCATAGATTAAAAAAAATGTAATTCATTTTAAGTAGTCAAAAATTGTATGTGTCCATGAATTAAGGTTCAATTTTTCAAAAATTGTATACATTAAAAAAACATAACTTGGCAGGAAGCTGATATTTTCAATCTCAAATAAGACATTACATAACTAATGTTAGCTTCTAATAACTAATACCTAATATCACATTTTGGTAAAACAAATAAATTAAACAGTGAAAAACAGATAACATTTATGCTAAAGGTAAGCCTTGTATCCAGGAACTTATATCTAAATCAGCACATTCAAGTGGACGATCTTCACGTTTAGAAATCAGTAACATTTCAGCTGCTGCACGTCCTGATAAGTATGCTCCATGAACTGTTGAATAAAAATTTGGATGTGTATGCTCTCCAGCAAATGTAATAATAGGCTAAAAAATAAAAATGATCAAGTAATTTGATGAAACTGTAACTAATTATTTACAATTTTATTGTGATTAACATGCATTGGCCTTGCAATGTGTTCAATATCCAATTGACTAGCACCTACTCCAATAGCAGTATAAGAGCCACGGCTAAATTCATCTGTTTTCCATCGAGTGCTATAAAAAACATTTCTCTCATAATAACTTTCATTAGTTTATTGTTTAATTATTAAACAGATAATAAATTATTAAATCTTACCATATGCATGAAACTGGAAAAGGAATACAAGAGTCATTTAAAAACTGTCTTAATAACTCAGTACACTTTTCTCCAACAATCTTGTCCTCCAGTTTTTCCATAGTCTCTGCTTCTACACCACTTATCCATCCTAGTAATAAGGTATCATTAATTTTTGAAAAACTATAAATTTTTTTACACCAATCATTTTTTTCATCATCATCCCACAGTAACAATATTTCATCTACATCTTTTTTTAAAAAAGGACGGTCATAATATAAAAATATCTTATTAACAACGCCATAAAGTAATCTTCCAATAGACTTTTCTTTATATTTTGGTAATTTTGGACTAAATATATCTGAAGACTTCAGAACACCTAATGGAAGAGTACATATAATACTGTCGGCTGAATAAACACTATTCTCGCAATGAACATAAATTGTTTCATCAGTGACATCATCACCACCAACTTCAATAATAGTCTTATCAGAATCATCTGAATCTGCAGCATTATCAATACCAGAAGGCCATTTGATTTTTATTACTTTAGAATTCAATTTAACACAATTAGGTGGTAATTTATTGCATATAGGGTCTAAAATACTGCTGTACCCATTAGGTAAGGCGATATTTCCCCCTTGTAGCTCTTTATAACTTCCCAGCTCAACAAGGTCAATATCTGTCATATTATTACATCCAGTAATACATGATTCTCTTTTTAATAAACAATTAAATATAAGTTGTTGAAGTTTACGAGAAGTAGAATTTTGCACTCTCTCTAAATAAATTGCAATTTCTAGTTTGACATGCTCTCCAACACTCTGAATACCAGGAGGTGGATCAAATTCACCAGTAAAATAATCTTCACATCGTCTTAAAAAACACATATAAGCTCCATAGGTTTCCTAAAAATTAAAAAATAAATTTGTATAGTAAACTGTAGATTGACAAAAATCATTTAAAAACATACTTGAAGTAATGTAAATGGAATTTGTGTTCCATTGGTAGTAGCAGCAATTATCCTGGGCATTTTAGGACGATGAGTAATGTCTATTAATCCATTAGCCAAGGCTAATTCATACATTGGGTTTCCAAGTATACCATGAATCCAATTGGCTCCAAGTTCTACTTGTTGATCATCTATATAATTAATAAAAGTATATATTAAGGTTTATAAAAAAATAAATAAAATTATTTTATAGATTTTAAATTCTTTAATGTCTTTAATGTCTTTTTAAAAATGCATTAAGCTGTAAACATAGCTAGATTAAAAAAATTGGGAGGGGCTAAATTTATTTTTCACTTGCATAAAAAAAATATTTTTATACAAAAATGTGTAACACTTTCTGAATTTTAGGGGCTAATTTTTGAATCAGGGAAGCTTGGTTCTTCTAATTCCTCATATTGGAGAATAAATACCCTTTATATATGAAGGGTAGAATATAATTGAAATTTTTGAATGATAGTTATAAAAAAGAAAATGTATTTAAAAGTCTAGTATAATATTTCAATTTTAAAGTTATGAAGGATAATTAATATGAAAAGATAAAGAATGTTAATTTTTGATTTAACTCGTAATGAATTCAAAAGATTAATCTATTTTAAAATAAACTATTGATTCAATTAGATATTTCTGTATATACAAAAACTATCACAGTCTTACTATTATAAATCAAATAAAACAAAATCTGTAAAGTCTGTAATCACAGCTTCTTAGAGGTTGTTCATTATACATTATTTACATCCCCTCTCGTAGAAAAATCATTTGTCATCTATTGTTTGATATATTTAAGTAATTAAGTAAGACATTGAATACTTACTTATATTGGCACTATAAATACGACCACCTATACGATTTTGTGCTTCCAATATTATATAATCATTCATATCATGTTGTGAGAGATGAGTAGCTGCTGCTAATCCAGCTATTCCAGCACCAATTATAATAATTTTGTGTTTTGAGACATTAGGTATTGAGTCACCCATAATAATCAGTCTTTGAGTAAACTGTAAATAAAATTAATACAAATTTTAAAAACAAAATAATAACCCATTTAAGATTTTCACAAAATTATCCTAGGAACAACTGACATTGAAACAGTTAGTATATTTTAGAAAATCAGTGTACTTCAAATATTATTTAAGTTTTCACAAACATATATATATATATATATATATATAAAATTTTATATACAACATTTTCTTTTTTTGCTAAAACATTATAAAATTCTACTGACCTAATACAATTAAATTTGCTATTTACTCTATAGGAGAGGATCACAATATTTCCATGATATCTTAGTCAAATATAAAAAAGGAGTATAAAGAGATTGTATAAGATTAAACATTAATGAAAATTTATATCACTGTTCCACAATGAATATAAAATCTTACATAATATAATTTCTCACCTAAGATATGTAACTTATCATATAAAAGATAATTTAGTATATAGGTAAAAATAAAATCCAGGGGAAAACGTCGCCAATACTAAATATTTGGGAAGGAAGGTTAGGAAAGAAGAAAACAACTATTATTTTTAAAATTTAAATTCAGACAAACAACATATTTTTAATTACATGTATAATATTTATAATTCTAACTATCAAAACTACTAGCAACATGATTTTAATTTATTAAAAAAAGAGGTAGCTGATTCCCCAGAATTAAATAAACAATAGTAAATATTAGTTAAAATATATATGATTTAATATTTATTAATAATTACACTTTTTCATAATATCACTACCCCCATTATTTTCTTACTAAAACATTAAGGTCATATAATTTCTTTTATGTTTGATTTTATATAGTTACATAGATTAATTTAGCTCAAAAACTATTAACTTACTTAATATAAAATTAAATGACCAATTTAGTTAACTACATGACTGAAATTTATACTTTATAGTGTTTATATAAAAAAAAAAAACTGCAGAATAACTAGACACAATGAAACTTTTAAGATTAAAACCTTTTATAATATAGATTACATATTTTGTAAACTTAAAAAAATTTGAGTTCAGTACACAGATATAGATAATTGTTTATTATCTATATCTGTGGTTCAGTATTACTTGTGTTATCAAATTTCATAATTTTATCTCTTTCATTACTCTGATAACACAAAGCGTAAATTAAATGATAATAAATAAAAATTTTGTGATAGACACAGTTATTCAATTATGGTGTCACTGTAATAATAAATCTTTATCTCGTATTCCAATTATGTTACCAACAAAACAAATTTTTACACTAAAAATAAATACACCTAACCAACCATTAAGTATATTGAATAATAAGATTTATTTAATTATTGTACTATAACGTATAACTATGTGAATTTATAAACACATTTATTTTCAAATGAGTATATAGGCTTACATATTTTTCAATTTTATTGAATAAAATCCATTTATAGATTTTATAAAATAAGTTAGGAATTCAATTCAGTCGTACTTAAATAAGTTATATATAACTTATTTAAGTACAACTAAATTTTTAACGCATCTTAATTCCAACGAAAATAGTAAAATATTTGTGATGGTTATTAAATACCGTAAAATTGAATATCTTAACAGTAGGATATTTTTTTTTTTGGATAAGTTTAATATTTTGCGTAAAATTTAAAATATATTTATATAATTTGGTCCTTATTTAACTATATAGTTTTGTATTTTTGATTAATACTTAAGTCAGTGTATCCTTATGAAAAAAAATTATCTGCACATGCGCATTACAATAAGTAATAATTGGCTATCTTATCAGTTCCCGGGATCCGGACAAACTTATTGTGAAATCTTATTTTTTTAATTATTATTTAAGAGTTACAATAACATTACATTAATTACAGTTTTTAATTTTAAGAAACTAACTATAAAATGAATTTCACTAGGGCTACCAAAATATTTCTTCGTCGATATGAAAGTAAGTGAATTAGTGTAGTCTGAAGAAAGTAGTCCCTTTAGGCTGCGTACAGGTGCAATAAAAGGGTGCTTTTGCTGTTCCTGACTGATAGAGTTTTATTTAATTGGACAGTTAAAAATTGATATTCAATAGAATAAATATCAATTTACTTAGAATTTAAGGAGGACTATAAAATTTTATTGGATAATAACTTTATTCCAAGTTTACAAAATAATGTTTTAAGGGTAAATTCCTTTATATCTTCCATAAATATAGGCTATTTAAGAAAAGTCACGAGCCATTACATATTTTTCCTGCCTTTTTCTTGAATTTCTGTGTACATCTATTACATACCCTTGGTTGCTAATTGAACTAGAACAACCCTTTATGATAATCTATTTTAGGTCCTAAGCTAATATAGATAAAATTTATTTCTAGGATGTTGTTTATAATTATAATGTTTCAGATTTTTAATCTACAACATTATTATTTCTTAAATCAATGCATATATTAAATGCAAAACAAAATAAATTATGTGTTATTGATTAAGCTTATTTATTAGTAAACATTCATTATTTATATTATACTGTTTAATAGCAAAAAAATATAAAATATAATTTTTATTTTATATTTCTATCTGTTTATAGGAAAATAAATGCTCAATATTGCCCAAAATGCAATAATATATGTGTGAAAACCCTACTCGAGATTCATTCTTTCTGTGACTTAGTCCCTACAATTATTTTTGAACTTAAAATTTTTTTCAAATTAATAATAACCTTTATTTTAAAATATACTAAGAAATGTTGAAGTGAATTTTGTTTAATGTGTGATTGTTATAAAAAGATATAATTGAAAAATTGTAGGTATATCATATTAATTTTTTAAATATTTTACGCTCTTATATTTGGATGGATCAAATTGACATTTTGTAAAAAAAAAGAATAGTATAAAAGTAAAATATAAAATAATCACTTTAGATTAGATTAAAAATGGCAGTGGATTTCCTTTTTTTTAAAGTTCTATTTAACATTGTTTTCTAAAACCAATTGCATTAAAAAGATAGTATTTCTCAATTTTTAAATTAACTTATCTTGATATCAATTTTTTTATCACTTGGAACCCTTTATCTTTAAGTGCTTTATACATATAATTTTAAATACATTTATTCCACTATGTTCATTTAAATTTCAAACCAATTTTAATTATTTAAATTATATGAATACAATAAATTTTACTTATGGGTTATATTATAACATATTATGTTTATATATTATATTATAAACATATTATGTTTATTATGAGTTCAAAATAATATATTTTATTAAATAAAATCTTTTTCTTTTATAGAACCATATAAAATGTCCAGTAATTATTATGTGACAACATCTACATTGAAGACAGAACAATGGTATTGTCCTAATAGAACTTCCATCTCTAACAATTTTGTACAAAATCATCATCTTACTGCTAAACTCTTATTTACAAATCCCCATGTCCGTAATTTGTCTACTACTTCAACACAATTTTCAGAAAAACCTTCTTCAAAAATAGAAGAAACTGTAAATGCTGTTAAAGAAAAAGCACAAAAGGAAACTGATAATCAAGTTGTTAATATAAAACCGAAAAAGTCAATCAAACAAAAAGTTATTGATGAAGTAATGCATTATTACCATGGATTTAAATTATTAGGACTTAATATAAAAATATCTTTTAAATTGGCACTCAAAAAGATGAATGGAAAAGAACTTACTAGGAGAGAACATAATTTAGTAAGTTTTGAAATAGTAAAAAATGAGTTAATCACTTTCAGTAAATTATTTCTAAATGTATTTATTTAAATTTTTATAACTTTTCTACAGTTAGTTCAAACTATGGCTGACCTTTTCCGTCTATTACCCTTTTCTGTTTTTATTATTATACCTTTTATGGAATTTGCATTACCAGTTTTCATAAAGTTTTTCCCTGGAATGTTGCCTACTACATTTCAAACGTCACACGATAAGGTAAAATAAAATGTTTTTTACTACAGTATTAATTTTTAATTAAATTTCCATTAAAATTTGTATTTTTACAGGAAACAAAACTCAAACAATCTCTCAAAGTAAAACTTGAAATGGCTAAATTTCTTCAAGAAACTCTCGACAATATGTCTGTATCTGGAAAAGGACACACTTGTGATTCTGCAAAAGAATTTGCTGATTTTTTTGACAAAGTATTTATAATATTTAATAATAATATTCATTTCTTATTAAGTCAAATACTTTTATTCCTACTTATTGGTTAATTATACATTTTAGGTAAGAAAAGAAGGTGTTGTTATATCAGCTGATGAAATTCTTAAGTTTTCAAAGCTCTTTAAAGATGAAATAACTCTTGATTCTTTACCAAGGCCTCAGTTGGTTGCTCTATGTCGAGTTCTTGAATTACGTCCTATAGGAACTTCTAACTTTTTGAAATTCCAATTAAATTTGAAACTTAGATCACTCGCAATTGATGACAAAGTACTCAATTTATATAAACCACCAATTATATAACTGTTTAATTTACATGATTTTAAATTTAGATGATACAAAAAGAAGGGGTTGAATCCCTAACTTTGAGTGAACTGCAACAAGCTTGCAAATCTCGGGGTATGCGTGCTTATGGACTTACTGAAAAACGTCTAAGACAACAATTGATTCAATGGCTTGATTTGTCTCTAAATGAAAAAGTGCCCCCATCATTACTTTTACTTTCAAGAGCTTTCAGCTTTACTGAAAATATTCCAACTAGTGATTTATTAAAGAAAGCTATTTCTTCACTACCGGAGTCTGTTGGTGTAACTACTGAGGCTGATTTAGGTGAGCGAGAAGGAACAATAGACAACAAAGCTAAATTACAAGCTATTAAGGAAGAAGAACGTAAAGTGAAAGAAGAAATGAAAGAACATATGGAAGAAAAACAAAAGGAATTAGAACAAGCCAAAAAGAAAGAATTAGATGAAGCTAAAAAAGTTGCATCTCAAGAAACATTAGAAGATTGTGCACCTATATTATTAGATACTACTGGAATACAGAAAGAGAAAGTAAGTTAACTTAAATTATGATTCTAATTTATATTTTTATCATTATTTTGATTTAGGAAGTATCATCAAATGATTTAAAAACTCTTGAGTGTGCAATAGAAAATTTAGAAGAAAAAAAACTTATTGTTGAAAAAGAAGAGATTAAAGAGTTGAAGGACGAACTTAAAGATTACCAAGAAGTGAGTAATTGATAATTTTTACATATAGTGTAATAAGATACGAGTTTGTTTGGTTCTGTTTTTGTTCATTGGTTAAGAGACAAGGAACAAATTTGGCTGCGATTCGGCTCATGCCCAATTCTTTGGTTAATATTTTTTGGCAAGAACCATAAGATATTCCGACGTCTTTTGAAACTTCTCTGATAGTTAATCGACGATTATTTCGAATAATTTCACGAACATGAGCAACAATTTCATTTGTTTTACTAGTCGATGGTCTACCAGATCGTTCGTTATCCTTAGTGGATGACCTACCTTCCTTAAACCGTTTAAACCACTCAAAACATGTTGTCCGAGACAGAACATCATCTCCAAAAGCTTGCTTGAAAATTTTAAAAGTTTCACTAGAACTTTTCCCTAATTTAAAACAAAATTTTACACACACACGTTGTTCTTCTATTGTTTCCATTTCAAAAATCGACACATGACTGAAACATTTTTTCGTAAAAATGCCATAAAATAAAAATAAATATTGTTATCAATTTCAAACCAATGCTCAAATTCTCGTTAGAAGTTACTTTATCGAATTAAATTATCGGGATTTCGTTATCTTAATTGATATAAATATTATTAACACAGTCCGGGTATTTTTTGATCACACCTCGTATATAATAACAGCTTAGTGATTACATGTTAAATATTTCAAAACTCCAATAGTTTAGGAAAATTAACAACAAATATTGATTTCTTTTAACATATTATAAGCTAAAACATGAATATAGAAGAACTATTTGTTGTATGTATATTATTTACATTCACGATTTGATTAAAAGAATGTTCATCAACTTACAGCTATTTTTAGAATAATTCATAATTAAGAAAAGTACACCAAATATTTCTTTAATTTTATTAAAAATATAAAATAAATTTAAAAAATGATAAATATGTTGCCTGATAAATATTACATTTTAGTTATTCTACATTAAAATTCAAATTATTTAAATTTATGAAGTCTAATTGAAATTAAAGAAATAAAAAGCTCCCACTAAGAAATAAAATTCCTAAAAATTAATAAAATCATTAAATTAAGTAATCTCATAAAATATAAATTTGTGACTTTTCACAATGTAATGGTGGAGTTTTAAAATAAACAACTTCAAAGTTTCAATGTCGCATAGAGTTCTATTTTATTTTAAATATATGAAATTACACACAAATACATATTTTTATTGAATCAACTTTTATTAATTATTTTTCTTTTAATAAAGGATGTTCAAGATCTTCAAAATGTTATGAAAAGTGAAAAAAAAGAACAAGTTAAAGAATCGAAAGCAGCTAAACGGTTATTCAAAAAAGTTAATAATATGATAAAAAATATGGATCTTGTTGTGAGTAAACTAGAAAAGAAAGAAAAGCAAATTAAACAAGATATTGAATTGAAAGAATCTGATGAAGAAAAAGTAGACAAGGAGAGGTATTTTTAAAAGTATATTTTATCATAAATAGATTCCTAATTCTAAAATTTTTTAAAGTGAATTGATTAAAATCGATGAAATTATTGGTGCTGTGAGAAAGCTTCAAAATATTCCTGATGATTACAAACTTCAACAAATAAGTGAAGTTTTAAGTAAAATAGATGATGATCATGATGGTTCTATCCGTGTTGATACTGTGTTAAAAGTATATTTATTATCTCCTATTTTAGAAAATAATTTAATTTCTTTTAATATTTTTAGGTATTAGAGTTAATTGGCACTGAAAACGTTAAGTTGTCAACTAAAGAAATGGATATGATAGCTGAGCTTGTTATTAAAGAAGAAGAAATGGAAACTATTGAAAAGTTAAACAAAGTACAAAAATTAGACAAGGATGATCAAAAATTAGCTTCTAAAAATATGTCATTCAATGATAATTCTACTAGTAAAATAACTAAATCTATTATTGATCCAAAAATATCTAATGATCAAATAACTCCAATTCCACCTGTAAGCTCAAATAAAAGTGATGAAGCTAAAAAAATTTAAATATTGTTACGAGTTAATGTTTATACTAAATATGTGATATTTATTTAACTAAATTTCTATAGTTTATGTGATCTGCTGTACTTTTTTCTCCTGTTTTAATTTTTAGATATACTTTTAATAAATATGGATGTATATATACTTATATATTTCTTTTTTTTTTTAATATTTTGTTTCTATAGAATCATTTATATTATATATATATATATATATTTTTTTTTTTTGTTACTATAAAACTAAAAAATATATGGCTGGTTATCCATTAAAAACTACATAAAATTTCTTCAAAAGTTGCAGGAATAATAAGAGAGAAATATATATTTATGTATACATCTGATGAAGTATCATAGAATTTTAATATTTTTTCACAAGAAAAAATTGTGAAAAATAATTTCTAAAAAATTTGAATTAAATTATGCTTATTTTTTATTCAGTTTATTTTTCTAGTTTTTTCAAAAGATGAATGTTTGTACAATGTATTAAAAATGATGACAACAACCTATTTTGTTTCATTTATTTGTAAACATTGAAAAATTAAAATATATAAAACTGCTACTGCAGTAGACGTAGCAACTAAATTAGTTAGAAAATAATAGAAGAACTTATTAAAAAGTACTAAAAATTATGCATGATTAGGCTATATACGATATATTAATAATGATGTACAATAATCATTAAAACAACAAAGCAAAATAATATTTTTGTTTGCTTTTTGAACTAGAAAAATAGTGTATTAACTAAAAAAGTTCTAAGATAACATGAGTTCCTATAAAAAAATTATCATTATGCATTTATTAAAAATTTAACATAAAAAGAAATACTTTTTGGTAAGATATGTAAAAATGACTACTAAATAAATCGTGTTAAAACTAAGCCAAGTGGTAGATTCTCTTTATAAGTATATAAGCAAATATTTCTTTATATATATAAATATATACTCTTCTTTGATATTCTTTATAAAAATTTGATAGGACAGTGACCACTCCCTCTGTTTCATGCTTTTCAATTTCGTCACTTTTCTCTTACAAAATAGTCGTGAAAATTAGCATTCGAACGAAGACACGAGTCATCACTGCGTAGTAATGTTAGTATTAGATAGAGGAAGTAAATGTATCATAAGACTTGAATTTCCCTCCAAACTGTTTGACTGTTGGTGACACTGATGTACTCATGGGTCAGCGGGACGAGGAATTCCTCCGCCACCCTTCCGCCTACCAGATAGAATTTCGCGCATTCGCCATGCAACTAAAAACACAACATTGCGGCCTCGTCCTTCAGTGGGCCCGTCCGTAACACTTTGGGTCGTTGTTCGACTAAAATTTTTTTTTCACACATTTTTTTTGTTTGTTTTTTTTATCTAATTGTTTATTTTACATAAAATTCAACGGAATTATTAACAAAAATCAAAACTTGCACTCGAAACTCTTGGGCCCACCACGGTTCCACGGGGCCCGGAACACCAAAATCTGGGCGGACGAGTGCCACTAAGAGTCCAAACGGATTAATAAAAAAAAGTTCCGTGATAACTCAAGGTAAATTTTAAAAATTATTATTAATTTAAATAATATTTATCATGGATTTTTAATTATTATTCATTCATATAATATACAAATTATTCTTAAAAATAATCGTCTTAAGGTCAATATGGCTGTTGTAATTCGCGCCATTTCTCTCTTATATAAGTATTTTATTTTTGTTTATAATGTTACAGTTCTTAAATTTATTTTATTCTCTGAACATTTTAGAATCGTACGATGTAACACCATATATTAACTCAAAAACATGGCTATTTTTCTTATTAAAGAAATCTATTTTGATCAAATAATTATTCTCGTTAATATTTTAGTATTTTTTTATTTGATAATTATTTGAACTTAATTTTCTTTTGGTGTGAAAAAAATGATATTTATACCATAAAATATAAATACATTATAATATGAATTAATTCTCGTTGTATAACTATTAAAAAATTTATGTGATTAACCACTAATTCTTGTTAATTACCCACTTGCATAAGGAGTGAGTAAGACATTTCATTGTACTATAGTGCAACATTTAAACTTATTATATTGTTATTTTTATATATTAAAAGAAAAGAGGGTAGTTAATTGGACAACTAAACTCAATAAATGGGAAATTTGGTATAGCTTAGTGAATAGAAACATGAAGCTGAGCACCAAGTGTTTTTGATTTCACATTATAACCTTCCTTTTATTTTATAAAAGTACATTTTATAAGTCAGTTATACAAGGCTGGGCAAAAAAGAATTAAAATATTTAACAGTAGTATTTTAAGGTTTTAAGTTAACTTAATTTCTCTTTTGTTCATTTAACTATAAATTAACTACAGTTTTGGTCTTTTTTTGTCAAATACCTGTTTAAATATAATTCTAAATAATCGTCATCACCTTTCTAGCAACTGAAATGAATATATCATATTTATAGCTACAAAACCACAATGTTTAAGTTTCAAAGATTTAATCTTGAAGTAGGATAATTTAAAAAAGTGAAAGATATTAGTGACACTATTGATGTGAATACTATTAAGATGTATATTTTAAAATGTTAAACCAAAAAATTATACAATTAAGGTTATTCTAATGATGTACAATTATAAGCATTATAAAGTAACAACTTTAAGCCTCTAAGCCATTTATAGTAAGAATCTAAAGGAAAACTAAGAGTTTTTCTTTTACAATTACACTTATTAATAAAATTAAGTGTAAAAAGTGATGGACATTCTGATAATAAAAATTAATTTTTACAATATAATTTAGTATTATAGTACATAAGATATAGTAATACTAAAATAAACAAACCCATAGTACTATAGTTACTATTATCTAATCAAAATTTTTTGTAATGAAAATAACAGTTAAAAAATTAATTTTTAACTTTTCAACTTGACTAGTTGATTATTTTTCTAATAAACTTTTTAATTTAACTAATTTAATTTTCTGTTGAAATAACTTAGCTTTTTGAATTAATATGTTAAAATAACTAAAAAAGCTAAATTCAAAATTTCATAAAAAATATACGTCTTTATACTCGGCGTATATGGTTTAGTTAAAAAAAAATCAAATTTTCCCCTATTCTAAATATTATATTTATATAACAATAAGCATAATAATCTTCTAATATTTTACAAAAATGTATATGATTTTTTTTTTATAACTAGTTTTAAATATAAAACAGTACCACCAACACCGAAATGTACAAAACAAATAAAAAAACATTGTTGTTATCATTAATATTTTCTTCCTATTCAGTTTTAAAAGTTTCTTAGCTTTTCCTTGTATCACCAATTAATAAAAAATAATTTTAAGAGTTCAGCTGAAAAATTAATTTTAAATGAAATAAACTTTTGTTGAACTAGTTTAATTTAAAAAAAAATTTAATTTATCTTTGTACTTGGTTTGTTAAATTTATAATTTGGTAACTTTTGACTGTTGATTTATCGAAATTGTTCATACTTAACTTGACTTGAATTAATTATTTTCATTAACTTGCCCATCTTTGTATTTATGATAATATGAAAATTATTTATATGAGGACTATAGACTCAATTAGTATGTGAAGATGATCTAATAACAAACTATCAATGCTTGAAACACTTAGATATGTTATTCAAATATTACTGTAGAAAGAATAAACTTAATATTTGACTATGATTAGATAATATCAAAATCAACTAAATTAAAATATTTTAATGATAAATAATATCTTAGTGCTATTATTAATGATTAAATTGTCATAATTAATATTAATGAATCATACTTCATATTAGTATTAATATATTTTTTTTTAAATATAATTGATTAGATAAGAAAACTAATTTTTTGTTGTCTTAGTACGAAAAAAAATTTTAGGATGACACAGTTCAAAAAATATACCGCTGTATTTTTTCTTTATTTAATTTTATTATTAGCGCACATAAATAGTAATCTATAGTTAAAAAGAACGAGTTTTAAATATTACATGTTATACTTTTGAATATACACAGGACTAGAAAAACATTTTTCTGTATGTGACGCTTATTTCTATTGAAATTTGACACTGTCTCCCAACTAGGCTTCACATTTTTTTCATCATATCTACTTTCTAAGATAATTACTTATTAGTTATTAAGTATTAAAATTGTTACAAAAAACTGAAAAAAAAGGAATTTAATTTTTAAAACTTTTAATATAATTTCATGATGTTAAAACTTTTGCGAAATTTGAGAATTTATTTATATTTGAGATGTTAAGTTTAACTGTTTTTATTCACTATAAATCACTATTAATAAGTTTAAAGCCATTTTTTAAGAAAAAAAATGATTATAAAATTGCTGCCAATAGATAAATAACTTTTTGAAGAATTTAAAAATTATTTTATTTTGTTTTGAATACAAAAAAAACTGATTGAGTTGGAGACGAAATTTTGAAAAGTAAAATTTAAATATATAACTTTTTTTGTGAATTTAAAAGAAAAAATTATCTGCCTTTTTTATTTTTTGATGTTAAAATCAATGATGTAATTATATTTGTTGCATGACACTTGATGTATTCAGTATTTTAACTTATTGTAAAGAAAAAGTAACAGATATTTTGCAGATTATAATGGGTCACTATATCAATGGGTTTTCAGTTTAAAAAAAAAAAACTAAATAATGAAAGAAAAATTATATTTTTTGACGTTGAAGACAAAGGTGTAATGATATTTGGCATATAATAATAATTGTCTAGCGTCAAATTCAATTACACCATTGACTACAGCATCAAAAAGTGCAAAAGGCTGTAAGTTATTTTTTTAATTTATAAAAAAACTGTACTATCAAATTACTTATAAAAATAAAATTGCATTTTTCATTATTGTGCTCTTCTCAAATTTTGTTGTGTAAAAAACAAAAAAAATTTTTTTTTTTAATTGCTCAAACAGATTATTATAATGGTAATAAGTTTATAATTTTAAGAATAAACCAAAAATAGTTACAATAAAAAGTTTGGTTTTTTTTTTAATCTAAAACGTCATAAAATAATAAAATTATAACAGAAAAGTTAAAAAAATTAAATTAAAATTTTTTATATTTTTATTTAAATACTTAATATTAAAGTAAAAATTAGATGCGATGGAAAAAATCTAAAATCATATTCAAAATCAACTTAAAAATTCATGGACAATGCAAATGTCTATACATAAAAACACTTCATATTTAAACTTAAAATTTATTTATTTATTAGTCAAAAAAGTGTTTATAAATGTAATTGAATAATAAAAAATAATATTTTATCACGCTTATTAAAAATAAAAATTTACAAGTTCAAATTCAGTTACCATTTTATTAATATTTTTACTTGTTCTTGTTTTTAGTTTACGAAAAGCTTATTACAATTAGTGTTAGGTTACTTTTTTAACATTCTTGTAAAATAAATATATCAAAATATTTTCCTTATTTAAAAAAACTGTTAAATAATAAAATTATTATTACTTAGTACTTTTGCTACTAAATACTAATAATTTTTAGTATTACTAATAATTATACTATATAAAGATCATTTGTATCAATATTTTTCTCAAGTACTTGTAAACAAACGTAGATCTATAAGGTGTAAAATTTTATACCTTATATGAGTAAATTATCGACGTCAAACTATCTGTAACTTTCTTTTACACATATGTTATTTGCTTATTCAAAAAATATAATTTAACAAGTACAGCGTATTTCTGGCGTTCAAATGATATAGCAAAGATACATTCGCGTTGTTTTTTGAAGTCTACTTAGACCGAAGACGACGTTCGTTCATTGTCTGAATATTTAAAATTTTATGTTCATTAAAGTTTTATCTTTTATTCAATGATGATTTTTGGAAGTTAAATTATGTATTATTAATGGTAATTAGTTTTTATATGTATTTATTTTGAAAATATTTGTACGAAATTCTATGATTCAATATTTTAGCGTCGCTTTTATGTAATTGATCTGATATCTCAATGTGTTTTTTATAATTTATTATGTTTTGATTTTGTATGATTTTTTAGCTTCGATAAGTAACTGTAAAGATTTTACTGTCAAGATCGATTTTTTTTTCTTGGTCTGTCCATATAATTACTCCACCCTTACTAGACTGAGTTTGCTCAAGTTAAAATATCACAACTGTTAAAAAACAGTTAATATTAATATTTTAAGATTTCAATTTTCGTTTAAATAACTTTTTGAAAATTAAACGGATCATAAAAATATGTTTATTGACAATATTTTAGTCATTTCCTTTGCTGACTACATATTTTTTTTGGTGGAAATTCAAACATTAACTAATAAGTACTGGATGGTTTAAACAATATGTCAACATTTTTTTATTTTCAATTTTTTGGTAATATTTCAACAAAACCTGCAATCTTCAAATTTATACCAGATTAAAATGTATAAATTTACTTCAAGATAATAAATTAAAATATGTCCAAAATCACAGTGTCTATGAGTTATTGACTAATTAGTCCAAATATCTATACAATTTTCGGCAATTGTGAAGCGTGTTTTGCATAGCAACAAAATATCTAAATTATTTAAAACTAAATCAAATGAAAACTTTTGAATGTACTTAAACTATTGAATATTTTTAGTAATTGAATAGCAGCTCTATAGTTACTATTAAACATTTCTCATTACTAATTTTAACCCACACTGGAGTCTACTATTTCGAATCTCAATTATGTTAGGTACTAGTACATCAGAAAAAACCCCAGTACCGTCACGTTGCTTTTTTTTTTTTTTTTTTAATTATCATTATTATCAAATAATTATATAGTAACAGATAGTTTGTTTGACTGATGTATTTACTTCTGGGATATAATAACTAGTGATAGACATTAGGACGACCTTTAGTTATGAACTTTTAAATTGCATAGTGCCACTCCGTAGAATTGTTCGAATACCCCAAAAAAAATAATTATTGCAAAAATTGATGATGATTGTCAAACTTTAAGACGTGCCCCAAGAGTGCCAACGTGCCATTTTACAGTAATTTAAATGTAGAGAAAAATATGTGTAATAGAATTTGTATTACAAAAAAAAAAGGTCATATAATAATATAAATAATTATTCTATAATTTTGTATTAAGACTATAGTAAAAAAAATTAATATGTAAATATATATATTAACCAATTGTACTACATTATTTAGATGAGTAAATAAAAAAAGAACAGCTGCTCCGTATTTATAGAACAAATAGTGTGACACTTTAGTATAATGATAATACAAAATTTACAAAACGTGTATAGTTAATTCTTTTAGTTATAAAAAATAAGATTTTATTTTTGAGACGTAAAAATCATTATAGATTGTTCTGGCGACAATGGTTATTATTAGCGATGGGAAATATCGAATAGTAACTTTCGAACTATTCGATAGTTGTCCACTATTCGATAATCATTCAAAAATTATTCAAATAGTTTTTAAATATTTGATAGGAACTAAACATAAACTGTTAATGCTAAAAATAAACTATTCGGTTGTATAAAAACAAATCGAATAGTTATTCGATAGTTTAAAATATTCGAAAATGTCCATTAGGGTGATCGTAAGCTACATTGGTAAGTTTTTTTTAATAATATTTAGAAGTGCCACCCCCTAGAATTGTTCGAATGCCCCAAAAAAAAATAATTGTGCAAAAATTAGTGATGATTGTCAAACTCTAAGGCGTGCCTCAAGATTTGTTTAGACAAATTTAGGATGTTTTCAATCCATTTATATTACTTGTTAAGTTTTAACTAGGTTGTTAGAGTATTTTTATTTTTACAATACATTATACTAAAACTGTACAGACTGTAAACTTAAAATCTACAGCTTCGGTATAAAAAATTGCTATTTTTTGAATAATTTAAATAATAAAACAAATAGTAATTAGTTATCATGTGGCCTATCATAAAATTATTTATGATAACAATTATATATGTTTTATTTAAAGGGTTACGCCATAAAACAAATTTATATTTATATTAATTCGGTTAAATTATAAAGTCTTTAGAAAATAGATAAAAAATTTGTTGTGGTGCTAAATACATACCTCTTTATACAGGTGTTCAAAAAATAAGGAAACAAGTCAATTGTTTGTAACAATTGATCTGTTTCCTTACTTACTGAATACTTATATATCTAGTCTTTTAGAAAAGAATATTTTAACGGTTTTCACGTGTATAATTCATTTCTACGTGCGATATTTAACTAAAAAATAGAGTTATGTCATAATTTTAATTTTCAACGACATTTTGTACCTAAGTTCGTAAATAGAAAAAAATCTTATAAAAATTTTAATTTTTAGAAAATTTACTTGAGCTGTATCCCAATTCGGTGTTAATTGCTGAACGACGAAGTGAGCAAAAATATTTTGCCCACAAGGACATGAATTCTACAAATCGTCAATAGTTTTTCTCCACAGAACACATCACCAACGGCCAAGTTTATAACCGTGAGTGTTATATTTTGTAGCTATTATTACCATTAAAAGTAGATAATTTGCCAAAACACTCAATTACAATTTAAGTTAAAATACTTTATACGTACAAAAATATAATATATCATTCATGCGAACGTCATTTTACCACGTGTACTCGAGTTCTATATTAAAACATTTTCCTGTTGAGCTAAAAGTTTTTATTATCATTATGCTCTGGTTTAAAAATAATCTGCTTTTGCTTCTTTTGTGCTTCTGTATGTATGCCTCTCAGGTGTTTGTTTTGTCGTTCTTTTTTAATCCAATTTGCAATATATCGCCAATTGTATTTTACACAAAGCTACTGATTTAGGTTAATTTTATTAACGCTTGTCTTTTGCTTTAATATAGAGCTGAGAAAGTATAATTATAACAATATGTCTTTCTATATATGTATATATTTGTTGCATCTGTCACTACTTTTTCTTGGGTCTCTTTTTTTTTTTTTTTTTTTTTTTTTTT